TTTGTACGTATTTGGGTCGAGGCAGAATTGGGTTTGTTTTCAACTCTAAAGCCTAGGAGTTGACATTTTATGTCGAAGCCAGTTCGAGCATTGAGAACTTTTATGAAAAATAGAAGAGAAATTGCGTGAACAGTAGAATTTTGTATTTAATTTTTCAAAAATTGGGAATAAAAAGTCATAATTTTATAGAACACTACTAACATGTTTTCGTCAGTTTCAATACACAATTTTGAAAAAAAAAATTAAAATACAAGATGCAATCTACTATACATTTGATGGTATTATTTAAAAGGGAAAAAAAATTTCTCCATCGTTCGTTTCTTTCATTCCACTTGCAAGCAAGCCTGATCGATTCCTTCGAACCCCCCAATCTTGTCCGAATCTTCGGCCCTTCAACTGGGACGAACCGGCGAGGAGAGAGGTCTAGTCAATTTCTAATAAACTCTTAAAAAATGTTCTTTCCGTGTATTTTGTGTTTTCTCGTCAATTGATATTGTAGATTTTCTTGATCTTGACTTTCTCTGTAGATTTGGCCATATATGCAAACTAAAAAATTGAGATTTTGTTTTGTCATTTTTCACAAAGAGGGAAAAGATGATATTTTTACTGTATGTTCAATTTTTAGCTGAGATTTGTCCATAGGCATTCATTCAACACTTGTTATTATTTTTTGAACCACTACCCAAACATATTTTACTATTTTTTATTTTTTGAAATCGTTACCAAAATCATATCACCAAACATGCTTTAAAATACAAAATAATTAAAACACATTTTTCTAAAACCGTTTTCAAAAACCACTTTCGAAATCTAAATCGACCCTAACTATTTTGAGTTGGACCCGGGTAAACCCATCCAAATCACCCCTCTGGATACTTAATACGAGTAATTATAAATTCAACAAAGTAATTTTCTTGGCAATGATTTTGGTATGAGGAGGATGAGAGTGACACAAAGCAAAAGAGCCAATGGGATTGGGGTCATGGACACAACTCATTTGTACGTGTACCCCAAGGAATGAAAAAGGTGGCATCAATGAAGTTTTGTCTTGAAGCGTGCTTGTCTTCTTAATTTCATCCCCCACACGCCTTTGATTTCAACCCATTTACCAATGGTAATTCATGGTCGTTGTTAGTATTACATGATTATCTACACTATCACTTTATTTTCTTAAAGACGAGTCTCTTTCTTTTGGGCGGCCCTTGCCACTTGTTATCATCATAATTTTTCCTTTATTTAGTGCGTGATATGAAAAAAGAGTAGATCGGTGTATGTGCTTGACACGTTCTTTGGAGATAACATGTCATATCCTAGAAATATTTGGTATACTAGCACTTGATAGCGTTGTTATAGAAAATATGTATATAATTATATTATGTTAAATTATATGAATTACAAATTATGCATTAATTTAAACAGAATGTGTAGTAAGTAAACAAAGTGTATTCACAGGGACGCAGATCTGCACGAATAATCAAATAAGAAAACCATTTTTTCAACAAATACGAAATTACTAAGAAAATGACACGTGATAGAAAATGAAGAAAAAATGAGAAATAATCAGTGACAATCATGTTTGAAAAGAAAAAATAATCAACTGGGAGTTACCAATAGGTTATTATCGACAAAAATAAAATTGTCGAAGATAATGACTACAAAAGGACAATTAGAGAGGATAGAGATACACTCAAACTCCCACAAGACTTAGGATATGAGCATTATTAGGAGCAGTTTTAAATTAGTTTTTAGAAGTAGTTAGTGTTATAATCAATGTTGTTTATTCAGTCTTTTTGCAACCTAAGTCCCTTCAATTGAATTAATAAATGAATTCTCTTTTATTAATTTTCTATTATTTCATTTCAAATTTGCACAATGTGATTGTCCATTTTTTTTATCCAAGGAAGTTCTGAAACAAGCATTTAAACTTATTCCAAACTTTGAACAAAAAAAATAATTGTTTGAAAATTGTCTATGGATTTAGATATCTATGTCAATCCCAACAAATTTTGGAGAAACATATTTTGATATCTTAAAAAGGTGAAAATTCAATGGATTTGAGTCACAAAATTCAATGGATTTTGTGACACAAATCCATTGAAATTGTAATCAGAAAATTAGAGTTCTGTTTAGTTTGCATCTCAAAAAATAGTATTTGAAAATTATTTTTTTGTAAGAGTTTTAAAAAATTATTTTTTATATTTTTTGTGTTACAGAACTTATTTAGTTATATGATTCCAAAAATAGTTTAACAAAATAGAAAACAAAAAAAATTATTTGGACAGTAATCTAAAAAATAATGAAAACAAAAAATATGGTGGTGGTGAGAGTATGGTGGCAGTTGAGATGGTGGTGAGAATATGATGGTGATAACGAAAGTGTGGTGGTGGTGGTGGTTGTGTTGGTGGAAGGGTAATGGTGGGAGTGTTGAAATGGCGGTGGATGCGTAGTAATGATATTTTCTAAATTTTAAAAATGTTAGTTTCAAAAGTATATAAAATAGTTCTAATTTATTCTTTAAATTTATCTAATTTTTATTCTCAATTTTTAAAAATGAAAAATAACTAATCAAATAATTTTTATCTTTAAAATTATTTATAAAAATAAAAAATAATTTTTGAGATATAAATGAATGATGGTATGGTTGTCTAGTCTCTTTTCCCTCTTTTGCAGCCCAAATTCGAGAATCTTATGCAAATTTAGTACTTGAGTTAACAAAGAAGAAAAATTCCGTTATTCTCTAACATTGGTCTGGCTTAGTTGTTCTAAAAGATGCTCTCGTTCTCATCATAAATGGCTGAAAGGACCCAGTGAGGTTGCCTTTTTCTCCACGAGTGCCTCTGCTATCATGCATTAATGGCATTGCACCGTTGAGAGGGATAGAAGACTAAATGTCTTGTCATATCTCTTTTTTCTCAAAATATTTATTTCAATTTTGATTAGTCTCGATCTCGATTTAATCGTGACAAAAATATTTATAAAAAATAAATTATTCATGGAGTAACTCTAATGAATTAATAAAATTCAAAATAAAAATATTTAAATTTATAACTTATTCTTGTTATCACTTGAATTATTGTAAATAACTTATTATTATTATCACTTGAATTGAGAGAGAGAGAGAGAGAGACGTGTTTATTGGGTTTTGGTAATTGGTGTTGGCTTTTGGGAGGATTGCATTATTTGGATTCTATTTTCAGTTGGCTCTCCACTATCCATTGCCCAATGTATATCCACGCCACCACTTTTCTTTCATAACAATAGAGATTTTTGATCAACCAACCACCAACATTGCCTCGGTCAAAGGGGTTGGTAGTGGGCTCCACCAAGTTTCATGGAGAGCTTGAAGAAGAAACCATATGTTTATTTTGGGTTGGTTGTTGGTCAATAATTCACCATATGAATCACCACATAATCAATGAACTCTATTCAAATAACACATCCCATGCATTTCTTCTACTAGGATTTCCTCATAGACAATGGTAAAACCATAATCAGGGTACATGCAAAGTAAGATCATTATCCAATAAGTTTGAATTAGAACCCACCCCACATGGTACCACAATGAGGAAATATTAGGGGAGACAGCGGCGGTGATGGCGGTGGTGGTGGTCGAAGAATGAATTCAAAAAGAGGGAAAAAAAAAACAAGACATAGTGACAAAATATTAGTTATAGATAGAGCTATCAACTGATAGGTAAAGTTGATAATCGAGTCAAGTTTGTCAAGTTCGTTTTTAAAAAAATGATCTTAAAAAATTGTTTAAAACGAGTCAAGTCCGAACTAAGCTCAAAATAATTCCAAAATATAGTTGTATGTTGTATGCATCCACAACTAGGGAAAATCTTTTTTTTTTAAAAGTTAGGAGTGTTAAGACCAACTTACACACACTTCAACTAATCTCCTCTTCGGTCCGCTCAAAACAGGTCATCCACGCTGAAATTATATTCTTCATAAGATATTCATGAAGGAATAAATCTCTCATGACCTGATCTCAAAAAATTATCAAAATTTAAACTTAAGACGTCTGAATTTATAAGTTACCTCATTTACCACTTCAACTATCCTTGGAGTTGAAAATCTTCTTTTTAAACCTAAGAAGAAAACTAGAGTAAGAGTTGCACTAAAGATGCTTATTTCAGGAACAAAAATAAGGGTAAGTACTAATTCATTTGTTGCCAAAAGAGAGAAAAAAAATTAAAGTACCAGCCGCACTAATCCACTTGTTGCCAAAAGAAAGTTACAGTCCCACCAAAAACAAAGATGAATTTTATCCCAAACTATCATGATTTTTAATCCTAATTTACTATTCACTATACTTTTTTCCATATTTTCAAAACTATTATTATTTCCGTAAAAGTATGGCGTAAACCCTCCCAAACAATAGTATTCCCATAATGGCAAGACAAGGGAACAATAAAGTTTGAATTCCCGACCTCAAGGCCTAAGAGTGGGGCAGGAGCAAGAACGAAGGTTATTAACCCAACCGCTAATCTCATTCCCGCAAGGGTACAAACCCACATTTTTTCATATATGCGCTTTTTTAGTTTTCTTTTAAAAGCATATTTTGTAAACACGTTTTTTCATACCAAGGAACATCTGTAGTTTGGGAGATAAACTTGAGGATTTCTACTCACCCAAAGAAAACTTGAGAATTCTATAGCAAGTAACCACACAAGATCACACACACAACATATGAAAAAGTCCGTCCTTGAAGTTCCCATCAACAACTCTTAACAATTTGACAATCACAAGACAACAACTGCAATATATTAGAAAGAAAAAAGCACCCATCACCTAATATCATCATCTACAAAGTCGCTTTCGCAGCCCGGCAGCTACTATTCATACCTGAAATCAACCAAATGCGGTTTCATATGTCAATGGCCATTGAACGATAAAAACCAAGTCAACCTTCGTTTCCATAGCCAGCTGCATTCTATTATGAAATATTTAATCACCCAACCCCATTGCTTCACCAATAACACAGGAATCAAACAAGCAAGCTGTGGTACTACTACTAACGAAAGATTAAGAACAATGGTATAGTAGGGTATCCATGTTAAATATAAGATTTATGGCCATTTTCAACCTATAGAATGGATACCTAGGTGCATACAACTTGAATATATAGAGATTCTGTGTAAGGTTTGTCTTTCTCACATTTTTAATGGCTGGACCGCGAACAGATAAACCAACCTGACGTTTCAAGCAAGGAATTAAATAAATTAATCATTACTCAGAGGGAAAGAGAGAGATGGGTGGAGGGAGGTTGGGGGGAGATAGGGAAGAGAAGAGGTCAGGGCCTCAGGTGAGAGAGAGAGAGAGACATAGAGAGAGCATTTCCTAAGATACCAACAGCACTACAGGTAATTAGTCATGTGAGATCCACCGATTATACACGCAATATGCATTAATCATGAAGTAAATAATAACAGAATTAGATTGGAAGTAAAGTAGTTTTCTCAAACTTGAGCAGGTAGTTTTCTCAAACTTGAGCAGGCATTTGTTACCTCAAAGCTAGGCACTCGAGACACTTTGAAAGGTTATTGCGAAAGAAGCTTTAAGCACGACCAAGGGGCAAGAACAAAGCACCATGCATATGCTTTTAAGCACTCGTGATGATAACATATTTCACTGCAAGACAAGACCGAGATCAAAGGGTACCGAAAAGAATAACTGACTAAAACACTAATCTAGTTAACAAGTGTTTGTTCATGAGCACACAGACAACCGTTTGATTCAATATTGGACCAAAACATCGCCATTGTGCTTCCCAAAACACCAGTTTGTTGGAACATTGTTTTCGAATAAACAGAAACAATATTTTTTCAGATGCCATCAAAGGCATTCTTGTTCTCTCTTGGACTTCTTGTTTCAATGCTTTCAAACCAATGTTAACCAAAGAAAGAAACTAATTCAGCAACGGGTCATTTATGCTTGAGAATGCAAAGCCTTCAATCAAACGCTATCACAAAAAATACAAGACATCAAATTCTCATCGACTAACTAACAAAGGGAACCACAGATGTAAGTAGTACTCAAATCATTATCAAAGGCAAAAAATGCACAAATCAGTTCTCACGCTAGGCCTACACTGCTTTCCCTGTCCAAGAATTTAGATGCTGTTTGCATGTTGCTGCAATTAACCGAAATTCAAACCCTTAATTTGCAAATCAAATATTCTAGATATATGCCCAATACAAAATGCTTTGACATATAAGAAACTTTAAGGTGGAAAACTAAGGAAAGAACCAATTTTGAAACTTTCCATTAACACAGCTAAAACAGAGAGCTGATATGTGTCATCTTTATTGCAGTAATATACAAGATATTACAACAAAACAACATCCTTCATCAAATGTAATCTTTTTGTACAAAGAGTATCAAACAAAGGAGAACCACCTCACCATCGAAAATGGGAGATAACAAAATCCACAAATTATGCCCGCAAAACCCAACCTTGACCCTTCATCTTCTTCCAAAGCCATCCATTCATTCATAGCAATTAAACCGATTCGGTATTCACCTCATTGAATGCTTGCCTCGCAAAACCTGTATCAAACTCTTTGCATTTCTCCTAACCTTCTCATTATCATCCTCCAATTTTTCAACACAGATCTCAAAAACCCCATCTTTCAAGGCTTCCAAACAAGCCTTTTCACTACAACAACACAACGAATTCATAGTCAGAAGCGCATATTGAACACCTCTCGAAGTTCCATTCTTCAAAACCGTCGCCAAAACCTCCACACACCCATCAAACCTCATCATGCCCTCTCTCCCTTCCTTAGACTTTGCCAACAAACCCAATACCTCAACAGCCCGTTCGAGACCCGAGTTCACCAATTCGATCAAAATCGGCACTGCTCCACAATCCACGGCCCGTCTACGATTCTCAGGAAATGAGCACAAAGCATACAACGCCGTCGCCGATTCTTTTCTTTCTCTTCCGTTTCCAACCCGAAGAAGCGAAACTAAAGCTTGAATAGCAAATGGGAATGCTCCAATTGTGGCTTTGTTCACTTCTACAACTGCCAAGCTGGTCAACACAGTCGCTGCCACCGCTCGGCCATCACCGCCAGCGTAGCCACCGCACAAGGCGGCGACAACTCTGCCCACTACGCCCTCTGCCACCAAACCCACTTTGTTATCATCATCAAGACTCAAATTCAACAACAAATGAAGCGCCTTTTCTTGAAGAGCTGAGTCATCCGAGTTGACACAGTTGAGAACAGCTGAAACAGCACCTGACTCGGTCAAACGACGACGTACAGCTGAGTCACGCTTCGATACACGGCTGAGTTGGTCTAGCGAGTTGAGTTTGGAGTCCACCGGAGAAGAGGGATTGGTTAAGGTTCGGATGAGGGTTTGGGGGTCAGGGTAGGACTGAGGCCTAGGGAGGGAGACAAGAGTATAATTGGAAATAAGGCTTCTGAGAGCGTGGTTGGGGATGAGAGATGGAGGTTCAGACAGGGGAAGTTTCGTGATTGGACATGTCCGGTGGCCGGCGTCTAGCCACTGCTGGATTGAGGACCGGTCAAATGTGTGACCCGAAGAGAGAATCACTGGGTCAGACATTATCTCTAGTGAAATTGGACATTTGAAGTCATCTGGAAACTGGGTTGTCATTTTCTTCTTCTTCTTCTCTCTCTAAAAACACTCTATCTCTCTGTCTGTGTAGACGTTTGTATCAGTGTATGTATAGATCAAGAGAGGGTTTTTGAGGTTTAGGTTACAGGAAAGGGAAAGTTCTACCTTGTGACATATATGAGGTGGGAGGAGCTCAGCCTGTGACATTAGTAGAAGGCGAATGGAATTACTATTTTACCCTTTTGGCTGGGTTAATGGAGAGAAGGGTATTTTGGGAATTTCAATGGAAGCTTGGTTCATGGGATTAGTTTTGTCGGTTGTTTAGCAGGAAACAAGGGGAATGAGGGACTTCCTTTTCAAAGGGAAAATTAAGAAAGTCATCATTTGGGTTTAACTTTTTCGTGAATGACAACAAAAGCCATGTTTTTTGGGATAGGAACGAGATATAATGCTCTAATATTTTTTTAGTAAATTATTTGTCATTAATTTTAGTAAGTCTACATAAATATACTCATAATCCATTAATAACAAATGATCTATCAAAAAGAAATATAAAAAAAAAATAAGTGAATAACATTTCACACCCTACAAAATTATTCAATTTTCAATGTAATTAATATTCCAACAGATTCAATTAGATAAAAAAAAAGTAGCAATGTGGTCTAAAAATAAATATTCACTATCTACAATACTCACTCACTCACTAAATCCTATTTTTTTACATTATTATTTGTATAATACTCAAGTATTTTCAAAAAAAATAAATTAGTCATTTTCTTATATTGAAACACGTTCCGCCCTTATTGTTTGATAGAGGTGTAATTTGAAATTTTCAATATTTCAATGTATAAGTTGAGAATGCAAAGATTCTTCAGGGTGTAAAGTGCCGGTTGTCCAAAAAATGTTAAAGAAACTTCGAGAGTGTTTATGTGATAAAAGAGACGAGTTATAAATTCAGATGTTTTAAGTTTGAATCTTGATAATTTATTAGGTTACGAATACTCTAATTCCCAAGTGAATGATCAATCTTTAACAGGATCGAAAAAAAAAGATTAGTTTAAATGTGCATAAGTTAACTTGAATACTCTTTATAATTAAACAAAAAAAAAAGATGGTTTAAAGGGTAATTGAGCCATAAGAATTAGGGGGCTATTTTTGGTATTACATTTTGCGGTGGAGTCAACTACGAAAGGTCATCCGGATTTAGTGGCCGGCGATGGGTGCCTGATTATAAAAGTTAATATGTGGATTAATTTACGGAATTGCCCCTTCACGGGGGGAAGTGGTGGTTGTGGGGACGACAAACTGAAAAGTCACAGTTGGCGTGTTTAAGACCAAGCATTAAGATACGTATTTAAGTTTGAAGACGTCCGTTGAGGTGTGAAAGCTAATGAAGAAGGAGAATAACCACCCGAGCTGCGTCGTATAGTGTGTCTGGTAATTCATCATTTAGGTTCTATTTATGAGTAATAGAGTGATTAACTTATTTTTAGGAGTTTCGTGTGATTGAAGTCAATCTATAATACTAGTTATTCTTGGAAAGCTTGCGTAGATTTAATTGTCCAAACTGCTATGTAAAACTACCTCATTAAGTTATGATCACATTCATATAAGAATTTCATGTCTTACAACTTTTTTGACAAGAAAACAAATCAAAAAAAAAAAATGGGTTATGTTAAATTGATCGTAAAATGAAAATAGACTATCAACTAAATAATAAACAATATAACATATAGATTTTGAAGTAAAATGCTAGAAAGAACGAAAAAAATTAATCAAATAAAGTAGCGATAATATGGCAAGTAAGATTTTAGAGTCTCGTTACGGTATCGAAAAGGTTTTTTTTTTTTTTTTAAACCACGCCTTTGTTTTTCAACCAATAAAAACAAAGAACACATATAATTGTTTTTATTACTTTATAATTTTTTTTTCAATTAATAATTATATATCATCTAATAAAAAATCAATGCTTGAGATTGTTGGAGGTATGGTACCAAAGTCGATATCTTAGCATTACCCAAGGATTTAAATATTAAATGAATAAAAGTAAAATTAATAGCATTTTCGTTTTGATTATACTCATTTTATATCTATATAGTTTTCCTCAATTTTTTCAATATTTTTTGCCATTTAGAATACATGTTATTGGCATTTCCATACAAGGATTAAAGCACCTAGATAGGTAGAAACAAAGGATAACTTGAAGCACTCTTGATATGGGTGAAGATGACATATGGTCGAGGAGAGAACATTGTTTATTCTGCTTGTGCTATAATCCATTCACGCCAAGTTCTCAAACTTGGCAATCCCAAGAATATCTTTTTAGTATATTCCTTTTGATTTTCATCTGAAAATGATCTTAACAAAGTATGTTTAAGTATAGGTTTATTTAGAGTGAGTTTTAACGTAATTGTGAGGTTATTTTATTGTAACTTAGAGATCACGTATTCGAACTTAAAAATAGTCGTACAAACAATCTTTTCTATTTGTAGAGGGTAAGAGTACCATTAAATCTCTTCGATTCCTGTAACAACAGAAATCTCGTACACGTGTATTGGTTATCTTTTTTATTTAAGTTTTGGTTTGCCTATGTGAAAGTAGAAACTTCAATTCAATTTGTGCATATTTTGTCTTCATGCCCTCTCCTCTGTGATTAATTTTCTGTTGACATAAGTTAATTACAGAGATGAAAATTTATTAGTGAGCTTTGGAGGCTTAAATTCCCAGATCTCTTATGAGATCAAACATTAATGACAAAAAGATAAATCAAAAGAAATCTATACCCTATCAAGAATTTTGATTAGTTAAGTTCATTCCACAATTTTTCTATTTTTCATTTTACTAAAAAATTAAAATCCAATCCCTCTGATTTTCGCTGCACAGTCTTGCGTTGTCGTCATTCGTATGCCTTCGAGCAACGGTCTTTAAAAGTATGTAATCTATGACCAATCCGAAGAGATTAGAGATGAAGCACAAACTAGTTTTTCGGCATACGAATTAGTCGGTAATCTTTGAGGACGCATTCCTTGTTTGACAATATAGCGTGAAATACTAGAAGTCAAATTGCACATGGAAATAATAAATGGTGAGGCCATTAAATGAAAAATCACCATCTTAAACTCTTGTCTATCGGACCCAAAAAAAAGAAAAGAGTAATGTTATGGTAATTAAATTGTTGCCCAAAATTTGTATCACAAATTAATGCAAATAGTTGGATTACTACAAAATCAATTGTTGCTCAAAAATTGTATAAGATTTTGACACATAACTTGAGATACAAAATTTGATAAATAAATTTGTGCATCATAATTTTTTCAAAAAAAAAAAAAAACTCTTGCCTATACCTGTAGTGTAGTTTTCACTTTATATTTTCTAAATTAATAGATATTTATTACTGGATAATTACAAATATTCAATACTGATTCTATAACAATAAATTCAATTTGATTTTATTGCAAGAAATGGTATGAACTATGAAGAGTGGAAACAGAAATCCGGGGGATAATTGGATGAGGGGAAAAAAATGGATGAGAGAGAGTGTGTGGCATATCACTCGATAGCTGTCCAGAAAGTGACCAAAAATATTAAACTACAAAGGTGAAAGAGATTGATAGATTAGACTCATCAGAGAATTCCAACCTCTCAATCTCAGCTGTTCTGTAAGCCAATGCTTCTTCACAGCAGTGCCCATGCATGCTTAACCTTAGACATAAAAGTAGGAGAGAGAGAGAGAGAGAGCAAAGGTGGCAGAAGCACAAGAAAAACAAGTGACCTATGTTTGATAAATAAATAAAAAAGTTGTTCTTCAACATAAATCACGAGGATTGATATATGTAAGGTCGGTGGATAAGATAGCTTGGTTTTCTTTCAAAGGTGAAGGATGTTCAAATTCAGTTTATGTACAATTTTATTAATTTTTTTTAATTTAATTAAAGATAAGTTATTCATACAGAGATTATAGTATTCATAAAAGAAATTTTTCTAATTTGATCTCAAAGAGATATCATTTAAACTTAGTACATTTAAATTTATAATTCATTTTTTTTATCCCTTCATCTACCCCTTGAGATTAATTTTTCTCTCTTGAACATAATTTTTGACGATTCTAAAATTATAATTTTTGACTTACGTTAAGATTCCAATTATAATTTTTTAAGAGTTAAGTTATAATTTTTAGAGTACTTGGGATCAACCTTAACAATTTTTTGATTTATCACAAAATCTCAAAAAATTATAAATGAGCTTTAAAATGTTGTACAAAAAATTCTAGAACTTGCACATAACGGTACATTACCAACATTTTTGTTCATATACTAAAATTCACCCATGACCATAGCTGCTTTGAGATTTTCGTATTTGGCTTGAGTACAATTTTTTTATATAATGATATATTATTCCAAAAAAGCAAAAATATAAAGATCTAGAGTAAGATGAACTGATTAATTTTTATCTTTGATAATAATTTACTTTTTAATATTTTATTAGTAAGTACCACACATAGAAACTATTTTAATCTAATTGTTAGCATTTGGAAATGGAGTCAGACCGGCGTTTATGGGCGGTGGGGATGTCAATGGACCGAAGAGGGGGCGGATGGTATAGTCTTTATCCCTGTATCCACTTAAAAAATTTTCGTTCATCCCTGATCCACCCTATTAACGGGTATAATTTTCATCTTCATCCTCGTCCACGGGTAAATTTATAATCCTCATTCCGGTCCCAACTTCCCCCGTACCCGCTCAAGCCCAAGCATAAGCCTAAGCCCAAGCCCAAGTTTAAATCAACATAATCCAAAATTTTAAATAAATCCAACATTTTATATAATTCAACAACATTCTAAATAATCTAACATAATCTAACTCAACATAATGTAGCATAACATATTTGAACATAACACAAACAACAAATATTCAAAATACTAATTACATTTGATATAATTCAACATCACACAACATAACACAAATAACATAATGAGTGGTAGAATCATCTCAATTAACTCAATCATCTCTTAACACCAGCTTTACACCAACTCAATCATTACTTAACACCATTGGTGGTGGTAGAATCTACTTGTTCAACATCATTTTCCTATATCATTAAAAGAAAAAAAAAATAGATTTTTTCAAAGATAAATTTTCAACTAAAACGATATACCTCATCATC